GCTACGCGGGCTACTAGACTCTAGCTAGATATCGTTGTTGTTAGATTTAAGGATATACCCGTCCCTTTATGTGGATAATAGAAATACGTATGTTTACAGTTGTTTATTTATTTCTACTAGGCTTAGTTTTGATGAATAAAACTATTGAAAAAACATCCTTGCTGTATCCTTTGTTGGGGCAATTATCCCGATTACAAAAAGGCGTGGCACGCCCAGATCGGTTCACAAATAGCGGAGAAAACTAAACATTTTTCATTGGGGAAAATGTCCTTGATCCTTGGGAAGGACTGTATCAAATCCGGGGCTTTTTTTCGATCTCAGGAAGCTTTGGCACGTCCCGATCGGCCCACAAATAGTCGAGAAACCGAAATATGTATAGTTGGGGTTGTTGAAGTCCTTACCGAAGGATCGAGGACATTATTCTGATCACGGCGAGCCATGGCACGCCCCGATCAGTCCACAAATAACGAAGAAAACAAGATATATATGTCTGCAGGGGGTGTCCTTGATCCTTCAGAAGGACTGTACTAAATCAGGGATATTTTTCCGATCACAGGAAGCCATCGCACGTCCCGGTCGAGCTACACTTAATGTAGAAAGCAAGATATAGATATCTGGGGAAAATATCCTTGATCTTTGGTCCTTGATAAGGAATGCATTAGATCAAGGAAGCTATTCCGAATAGAGTAAGCCGTTGCCCGTCCCGATCTGGCCACAAATATTGGAGAAAACATCTCAACCTGCGACCGCGAAAATGGCCAAAAACGAGAATTTCCAAACTGGGATATCAGGCGAACAGAAATCAGCAGAAGGTCACGTTTGGTTTTTAATTTTTAAAATTTGTTTACTTCCGTTTTGCAGCCCCCCAAAAGTATGCCACAATTTTTTGTAATCGCTACAGTTGCTTGCTGCTGATTTCTGTTCGCCTGGTATCTCAGATCTGAAATTCTGGTTTTGTGGCCATTTGAGCGGTCGTATGTTGAGAGTTGTTGTACAACAACAAACATTTTGTTAACAAAACTTTTGATGTTTTCTCCGTTATCTGTTGGCTTTTCTGGGCGTGTGACGGCTTCCTGTGATCGGAAAAGTTACCCTGATTTGATGGAGCCCTTATCAAGGATCAAGGATCAAGGACTGCCCCTACAGACATATATATCTTGTTTTCTTCGTTATTTGTGGACTGATCGGGGCGTGCCATGGCTCGCCGTGATCAGAATAATGTCCTCGACCCTTCGGTAAGGATTTCAACAACCCCAACTATACATTTTTCGGTTTCTCGACTATTTGTGGGCCGATCGGGACGTGCCAAAGCTTCCTGAGATCGAAAAAAAGCCCCGGATCTGATACAGTCCTTCCCAAGGATCAAGGACATTTTCCCCAATGAAAAATGTTTAGTTTTCTCCGCTATTTGTGAACCGATCTGGGCGTGCCACGCCTTTTTGTAATCGGGATAATTGCCCCAACAAAGGATACAGCAAGGATGTTTTTTCAATAGTTTTATTCATCAAAACTAAGCCTAGTAGAAATAAATAAACAACTGTAAACATACGTATTTCTATTATCCACATAAAGGGACGGGTATATCCTTAAATCTAACAACAACGATATCTAGCTAGAGTCTAGTAGCCCGCGTAGCCTCTCCCTTGGTCGCCATAGTCAAAGTCCTTGTCGATGGTTAGGTCGAAGAATGAAGATGGCCTTTAAGGTCCGCTTCTTTCAAAGTGTACGCTTCTGTACTGCAAGGATACGGTTCTGCATGTATCCTACCCAGGCCATTTCCCGAGGGGCACACGGCATCGTGGCCCCGTGCGATGTCACCCGGTCAGGCACCTAGAGTGGACGTCCGTCATCGAGGGCACACTCGCTCATATGAACCGGAAGACCAGAAGGGGGAAACCCCTGATAAGCGATGGTGGGCTTAACGCTGTCCGCGGGAGGGGGCAACTCGCTAAAACGAAAGGAAGAGTTAAAGAGAGTAAACGAATAAATAATAACTGAAGAAGAAGAAATAAGATGAATACAGATGAAGGATAAAATGGACCTACAAGAGTAATTATTAATTTTATTAATAGAATTATTTTCCGTGGTTTAACCACTAGCAGTCGATCGGCAGGACTCGCCCGATCACGAGAAGGCATGCCGCGCCCCAATCGGCTGAAGTATAGCAGAGATATAGCGTACAGAAGAAACCAGTATTTTCATGGAATACCAATCTTCGGAAGACTATATCTCAGACAAATGGGACCAGATCTGTGAAGGACCCACTCTCCCAGGATCGTGTTGGTCCAGACCGTCGAACGGCATCAAAATCTCGACTTCGAAAATGAGGCCGATTTTCGAAAAATTTAATGATGGTTACATCATGATTTTTCGCGAAAATCGTGAAAAAATTGATGTCCTATTTTCCGATGGCAGTCGATTGGCAGGACTCGCCCGATGACGAGAAGGCATGCCGCGCCCCAATCGGCTGAAGTATAGCAGAGATATAGCGTACAGAAGAAACCAGTATTTTAGTGATATGCCAATCTTCGGAAGACTATATCTCAGACAAATGGGACCAGATCTGTGAAGGACCCACTCTCCCAGGAGCGTGTTGGACTCGCCCGATCACGAGAAGACATGCCGCGCCCCAATCGGCTGAAGTATAGCAGAGATATAGCGTACAGAAGAAACCAGTATTTTCATGGTATGCCAATCTTCGGAAGACTATATCTCAGACAAATGGAACCAGATCTGTGAAGGACCCACTCTCCCAGGATCGTGTTGGTCCAGACCGTCGAACGGCATCAAAATCTCGACTACGGAAATGAGGGCGTTTTTTTGCAAATTTAATGATGGAAGCGCGGAGAAAAGAGCATGGGACGCAAGGAAGAGGGCCATGACAGTGGCTACCAGGTCAAAGGCCACAGCCTCGCGCGCATCGTACAGGATCGCATCGCCCTTCTCGAATATTAGGCACTAGACGGCTAGTGGCCTCGTAATTGCTTCTTCTCCGTAAATTCAATCTTCTTGACTGGCCCAAGGTTGGCTAATCGATGGCTTCGTTGCTCGCTGCCTCGTCTAGCCCCTCATCAAGGATTGTCCCCAGCTCACTAAATTGGCTGTGCTGAAGATGCATAGACGAGTTGGGTGGGGAATACTTCAGAAGCAGACTGTTGATTCTGATCAAGAACAGATGTAAATATGCATGTGTATACTATACGGGTTCTGGTTGTGCAACGGATTTACATGAATTGAATGTACGCCTGCGATCGCCAAGTCCCAGCAGATCTAATATAATTAAAAAAAAAAAACTAGTTTTGTTGAATCCGTTTTATTCATATTTAATTTTAGTATTTTAAATGTTAGCAAACAATGCAAAAATTATAAGAAACTTATATGTAAGAGCCCTTCTATCATTTAAATTTAGTTTAAAATTGTTTAAAATTAGAATGGTTTGGATTTTGGCTAATTTGATAAAAAATTTTGTGTCTGTCTGATGCATTTTTGTTGTTGTATTGTGAATTTAAATGATGCCTGCAAAGTACTACATATATATTTTCGCGTTTAGAGATCTCTTCTTTCGAATATTTGGCGCATGCTCCAAATTCAAAAACAATCCTATACATAAATACAAACAATTGTAGTGTTCAAATCTCTACAAACAGGAAAGCAGTACGAAAAAAAATTAATTATAATTATTAAATATTTAATACTTTTGATTAATCAAACGATTTTGGGTTGGGTTTTCAGCCTCTGCTGATACTCCTTTCGCGATCTTAAGGACATCTACACCAAAAGGTCGTTCAAGAGGCAAGTATGGGCGTAACGTCTCCTATATCCTATCAGTTTTCTATGGCTGTGATTTCTATATTTGAAACACCCAAATCAACTTTATCCATTTGTTTGTTTATTTGTTTGTTTTTTTTTGTTGTATTTTTTGATTCAAAATCCACTACATGAAATGGTTTAGCTTGGCAGTTATTCATAAAAATACACACACATATAACTGCTGTTTCGTTCCATGAATCAATTGAAAGTATAATTAGCAATTGATAGACAAAAAAAAAAATTTGGCAAATATATCATAAATACTTAGTACACGTACACAGGCGTGTGCGTGTATGAAGGTAAAATAAAGTTGAAGAGAAAACATGGGAAGCGTGTATTAAGCTCATTGAAAGTGCTTTTAGGTGTAACCGCGGCCACATCGACCGAATGGCTATCACAATAGCAGGGTGACTCGCGACTACTGAATGGAAAAACATAACCTAGGAGGGGCACTCAGGAACTGCAGTCGTACCTGTTCTACTCGCAGGCCACATACATAGCTTTAACAGCTGATCTTTACTTTTGTTTTGTTTCGCATTGATTTGCAATTCAAAGACCTATTAAGAGTTGACTAAACGGTATTCTATTGTTATTCGTATGTTTCTTTCTTCTTGTTTACGAGTATATCGTCTATATTAAGTATGTGTGTGTTTTTGCGATTTGGTTTCGAAACATTTAGGGTTCGGCTATATCGTATGGTATTGTATCGTATAAATATTCCGCCTAGAAATTCATGTACATATTGAAATACATGCAGATCGGTTTAATATACTATGTATGTATGTATGTATGTATGAATTCGAATAGCTAGTGCAAGTACATATGTATGTATATATTTAAGTTTCAATTACATCGTCCTCTCTGTCTTAGTTGCGAGTGCAAACGCCTTACAATACATACTTCCCAATCCCCTACAGGGATTCCATTTAAAAAAAAACCCTCTGCATATACATACCTATGTATACAGTGTGTACGTCTTAGGTGTATATTAATTATATATATAAATAGTTACTATTTAATCTGTATGCATTACTATTATACAATTCTGTAAGGGTTTTTTCTTTTTCTTTTTCTTTTTGTTTTTTGTTTTTTTTTTTTTTTAATTATAACAAGAATGTAATTGTGTCTCGAAGCCAGTTTTTTCTTCGAGCTAAGAGTTTTCTTTTTCAAATTTTGTTTTTTGTTTTTTTTTTTTCTATCATTATATACTTGTGTGTGTGTGTGTGTGTTTGCAGCAAGTAAATTGGATTCTTACATATCTCCGTTAATATGTATTTGGGATTAGATAATGCTAAAATGGTTCAACTTGGGTACTAGGTTTCCATCTGGTTTCGTTCTTTCTTTCCTCCTTTTTTGCTTTAAATATACACATTTGATGTTCTGGTTTTTCTCGGCTGCCTGTGTCGCTGAGCTGCAGTCATCTGTTTGCTTCTGTATAGTCGTGCATAGTCGTATGCTTATCGGTTTAATTACTAAATTTTACATCAGTCGTTTGGCACACACGTCGGAGCCATCCAGAGGAGGCATGTGGCAGCGGGCAGCAGGCAGCGGGCAGCGGGCATGCTCCATGTTGGCTGTTCGAGAGGCAGGACCAGCAGCTGCTCTGAGAAGGCTGCTGCGTCGCTTCGAGCTTCGAGCTTCGATTCGCTTCGGTTCTGGGCCTGGGGATGGGGCTGGGGCTGGGGCTGGGGCTGGGATGGGGGGTGCCAAATTAAACCTCGGTGCCGTCCTCGCCCTCGTCGTCGAACAGCTGACTTGTGCTGCCCTGCCCGCTGCGCGTCGTCGTCACGGACATCTTCTTCTTGGGCTTCGGTGGTGGTCTTGGTGGTATCTTTGCAATCTTCGGCGAGCCCGAGCTGCCCATGCTGCCCATGCTGCCGATGCTGGCGTGTGTGGGGGACCCTGATGTCGCCACCGAGGGCGACAGGGGTCCGGCGTACCCCAGGCCGGCCCCACTAATGCTGGCCCCCGGCAGTATGGTAATCCCATGGTGCTTGCCCCCATACAGAGACTCGGTTTCTGAGGGATAAAGGTGCTGTTGCTGTTGCTGCTGTTGCTGCTGCTGCTGCTGCTGGATCAGCTCGTGGATGGGCTCGTAGATCTTGCTGACATTCGCCGCCGAGGCCACCGACGTGAGGCTGGGCGTGGCGGGCAGGGGACGATCGCGCATCGAGTACTGCTGCTGGGCGCCCTGGGCCCCGAGTGCCTTGTGCAGATTCAGCGTGGAGTTGCCACCGGCCGTGGTGCGCAGCCCCAGGTTGTCGTAGACGGGCTCCGCCTGCAGCTCCGCGGTGGTGGCCGTTCCCGTCTCGCTCGGATTGGGCGACGTGGGCGACTGGAACTCGCTGAGCTGGGTGCCCGGGTGGGACGATGCCCCCGACGTGCTCGGAGCCCAGCTGGGCACACGCGGCTTGCGCGGTATGGTCATGTAGCCCTGCTTCATTACCACGGCCGTGGTCGGCGAGTACACCACGGGGGCCGGAAGGAACGGAGAGGCAGTGGCATGCTGGTGGTGCAGGGCGGCGGCCATTTGCTGCTGCTGCTGCTGCTGCTGTTGCCGCGAGCTGTTGGCCGTGGCGATTAGCGCCAGGTTCCGGGACTTGGGGTGCTGCAGCGTCATGAAGCCGTTGTGGGTGCCCGCCGTGGTGGTGGTTCCGTAGATCCCGTGGGGCGTCATGTGCGCGTACACGGGGCTGGTCAGCGGCGGCGAGCGTATGCCGTAAAGGACTTGGTCCGGTATGTTGGACTGGGACGACTGCATCGAGGGCGAGGTGGGTGGCACGCGGGCCGGGAAGGCGAGCAGATCCGGCGGCAAACTATTGCCATACGCGTCGTCCACGTAGGTGTGCCTGGACCGGGGCGTGGCCGTCGTGTCCGACAATGCCACTGAATGCGTCTCATCGTCACGCGACCGATTCGCCACTGCAAGACAAGAAAAGAAAGAAGAGAGGAGGTTCGATTAGGTTTCAATCGAGCTAGAGGAAGGAAATGTGTGGCAGAACCGTGGTAGTCCGAGCATCGGACCCTTGCTTGATATAGAACTCGATCTACAAAAAAGGAAGGGACAATGGTGTATAGTTTCGAGAGGATCCCATAGGAGTCGTGGCTCAATAAGTCTGGGGCTATCTACGTCGCCCTCACCATCCACAGGCACCTCACAGGTAGGATGGTAAGGGTCTTCAGGTGAACTGAGGGCACGGGCTCCGAGACAAGGCACAGATCAAGCAAACGACCCAAGGAAGTTGTTGCAGGGACAGGTCAAGATAGCCCTCAATAAAGTACGACTCGTCCTGGTCTAAGGGTTCTGCACCGACCCGCCAAAGCTTCGGAGCTCTGGATGTCTGTCTTTCTAGGAAAAGAGTGCGAAAGCGAGAGCTTGCTGCGAAAGTCCTTAGCATACTGATGGGTTAAAAAAAGGGAACCTACTTTAATTAGGTGGAATTAGATCGGGAGAATGAGGATGGAGCTTTGGCCAGATTACTAGGGAGAGCTATGGGGGCCTTTTCTTTTCCATATGCAACTCTGTACTTTTCCACAGCCGATACTCCACAATCAATGCTCTGGCGGGAAAACGCTCCCTCTCGTAAAGGAAGCTGTCTTCCTGGCTTAAGATTTTATTTTTGGCTTTGTCCGAGGTCTGGGACCTCCGCCAATGGTTTTGGCACCACAATATCCGGACCGATGATGGCAATATCCGGGGTTCTGGGAGGTCTATTTACTGCTGGGATGGATAGCGAACCCAATGAGCACGCTACAGACGTAGCTGGCTGTTCTCCGCAGTGGCGTTGTCGTTGCCACTGAGAGTGGTCGGAATCCGTTTTGAGGGCGCACACTGCACGACGAAGAGTGTGTAAGAGAGAGAGGGAGAGCCACTGCAATGCAATTTGTTCCTTCTGGCTATAATAATGATCCGATCTGATCCAGATTCGGCAATCTGCTAGATATGACCAATACAAACGAGTCTTTCTCGAAGGCTACCCCGAGTCGATGCCCCTTAATACGGAATACAAGCGCTACTCACCGTAAACTGTTTCGTCGAGAAGGGTCTTCTTGATCTCGTGTCCATCGTCGCCGCCGTCAACGCTCTCGATGTCCGTTCGCCTGGGCGGCTTCTCCACGGGATTCACCTCGTTGAGGAGGCTCTTCTGCATTTCCATGATGACGGAGCCCTCCAGCATGGAGCCGTTGTGGGTCTTGTCCAGCTTCGTGGATATAAGGCCATCGCCGCTCATCATGGTGGTGTCCTTCTGGTAGGTCCTAATGCGTCGACAGTACCAGAACAGAGTCAGCACAACGACAATAAGAAGCAAGAGCAGAGCGGTGGTGATCAGGCACATGATCAGAAAAACATTCGTCTGCGGATCGCTGGTGGAGGCGCCGATGGCCCCGCTCATGCCCAGCCCGCCCAGGCCGTCGGAGGCGGAGGCCGCTCCCACATAGTCGCCGTCGACCAGCAGCTGGAACTCGGCCTCCGCCCTGCCGCCCCGGTTATCGGCCACACAGATGTAGGAGCCCTTGTCGGAGGCCCGCACCCCGAAGATGCGCAGCTCGGAGGTCATGACCTGGGACGGCTGCTGCAGGGGCAGCTGCTCCAGCGAGTTGAGCACTTGGATGCGGTGGTCGTTGAGGTTGAGGGGTCGCTTGTTGTACACCCAGGTGACGTTCGGGTGCGGCGTGCCCACAATGCGACAGGGCAGCGTTATGTTGTCCTGGTTGGCCTCGAAGAAGGACCGGATCGTGCCGAGGATGCGGGGCCTGCAGGCGAAGTTCTCCGAGGGCACCTCGCTCCACAGCTTGCCGCGCAGCTGGGCCGGCTCCTGGCAGGCGGTGGGCGGGGTGTACAGCCGCTTCGAGATCACGTAGTCGCGGAAGGCCTGCAGCTCGCAGCTGCAGTTCCACACGTTGCCCTGCAGCGACAGGTGCATGAGCTTCTGCAGGTCCTTGAACGTCTCCATGTGCAGGTGCGTCAGCTGGTTCTGCTCCAGCGAGATGGCGCTGATGGGCAGGGCGCCCACGAAGACGTTCAGCTGCACCTGCTTCAGGCGGTTGTTCCGGAACTCGATGCGCGACAGGTAGCTCAGGTTGACGAACAGGTGGTTTCGCATGACCTCGATCTCGTTGTTGTTGATGATCACGTTGCGCAGCTTCTCCAGGCCGGCAAAGGTGCCCGGATGCAGCTCCCGGATGCGGTTGCTCGAAATGTCCAGCTCGATCAGTATGTTGAGGCCCTTGAACGCCTCCCGGTGCACCTCCTGGATAGTGCAGTTGCGCAGATAGACCTTGTGCAGATTCGGCAGTCCCGCCATCAGGAACTCCTCGCGGCGCAGCTCGGGTATCTGGTTGTGGGCGAAGTCCACCACCTGCATCTCGTTGCTCATGTCCTGCGGTATCTTGGCCAGCGACTTGTTCTTGCAGTCGGCGCTCTTCTTGCCCGAGTTCCAGTGGCAGTGGCAGTTGCTGCAGCTCTGCATCCAGTCCGCGTGTCCCAGTGCCTCCTGTGCCAGGGCCAGCAGCACCAGCAGCACCAGGAGCACCACCCTCGCTCTGGCCTCCATCCTGCTCGGTCCTGGGCTATGCCGCTGTCCGACTGTCATTAGTGCTGGGGCCAGTTCACGGCGGCAGGCCGCTGAACATGTGCCACGTGGCGGACTTGAGCGGCCCTCGATAATCCCCGTTCCAAGCGGGTCCTCTGTGGGTCCTAGCCCCACTGTTTGGGGTCGCTTTGCTTTGGGTGTCAGTGTTTCGCGAACTTTTAAACTCACTTTCCAGTCGCCCAATCTCCCCAATCTCCCACTCCTGTTTATCGTCCTTTTGCCGGCTAATCCTTTTGACGCGCTTGTATTGTTGTCCGGATTTCCCTGTTTTTCTGTTTCTCGTCCTTCGCCTCCGAAGCTGTGTGGCTGTGTGGCTGTGTGTGCGACAGACAAGGCTGCGACTAATTAATGGCTGTTGTCCTGGAGTCCTGCAGCTGCCACTTCCACCTGAAAGGAACACGCAACAATTCAAAGAGTTAGTTCGCTCAATAAGGAATGGATTCGAAAAGGATGGTTCGTGGAAGGGCACCGCAGGTCGGATTGGAAAAAAGTACTATCAAGTATTACGGATTATGCATCATTTTTAAGGATGGGTAATTAGTGCTGTCCCCGCGGCCCCGTGGCCCGCTGTATCGAACGGCTCGCCACGTAACGATAACGATGTATCGATGGCAAATCGTAACGATGTAGATAAGAGGATTGGGATTCTGTTACGTACAATAAGCGGTTCCGAATCCCAGTTAGCCGTGACGAAACGCCACCAGCCGTGACGATAACGATTTATTCTGGCCGTCTGGCAAGACCCAAATGCGCATACGGTAGATTTGGGGCTTTAAAAATTGCTAATGAATGCCTATGGGGGTTTATGGGATTACAGACATGGCTGTATCGGCTCGCACATTGATGCTGATCGAGAATATATATGGTTTATGGGGTCGAAAATTCTTCCTTCTGGGTGTTACACACATCGTACAACTCTTCGAGTACCAGGTACCTCGTTTCTCATATATTTGAGCCTCCAATGGGACAGCCTATATTATTATCCATCTTAGTGCTTCAGTATTTCTCTCCATCACACACTATGCCTTTCCCATAGCGGTTTTACTTGTGGTCTGAAGCTGATACGACTGGTCGATGGGTCCAATAGATGTTCTAATAGATACACTCCGCGAAAAGGGGCTTTAATTAACTAAAATGAGTCTCTGTTTTTTAGCCTTCGTGGTTCATGGCATAGGATATAATTAGCAACTCGCTGGCTGCTCGTCCTGAAAGGCTGTGATCCTCTCTACCATCCACAGGTGAAGGCATATTCCCCCATGAAGTGGGCTCAAAGTGCGGTTGGGCTCAGAACTTTCTGCTCACCGGAAGTTGTGCCCAGATCTCCAGTCCCACTCGCTGTGGCTGCGGCATTTTCTAAGGCATTGAACAAATGGCCAAGTGGAAGTTCGTTAAAATGCAACAAGCACGCAAATCAATGCCATGGTTTATTCAACAGAACTTCAAACTTTCGAATTATTCCATTTTCAATGGCACTATTGGTGGGTGCTGCATCGCAGCTGGTAAGCGTTAAATTTTGTTCCCTAGAGAACTACCATAATTGGATTTGTTGGCCAGTGGAGTCGTCAGCCTTAACCGAAAACTTCTTTTGCGGTACGAGACTCGCATTGTACTCGCGGTTGGTACTTTCCATCAAGAGCGTCATTTTGTCTGCCATCAAAAGGAAAGGCTACTAAAGCTAAATCCTTTTGCTGGATGCGTCGAACAGGAGGCAACTCTGCATCGATTTTTCTTAGAGCAAGGTTCGGTCTTCTTTTTTTTGCAGCTGGCATTGGAAACTCCATTTCACATTCGAAGGATCAAAGCTATCCGGCAATTAGCTCGACTGTTGATCGACGCATTGTAGAGCCGCGGACCTGGCTGCGACTCTCTGTCTCTCTTTCTCACTTTCCAGCTCCTCTCCGCCAGGGGCGCACACTGGACGAAGAAGAGTGTGTGCGAGAGCGAGAGAGGGAGTAAGCGCATGGCCCCAATACTCAGGTAGAAGTGGCTATTCCTTAAGGTTCTGCGTTTTGGGTTTCTTGGAAAATCTGTAAAATCTTTGATGCCCTAGATTTTCGTCGTTTCTGATAGCACAGAGGTCTGGACACAACATTTTATTTAGTCCTGCTCTGAGATCCACTCGGCTCTTGATGCTGTTCAAGATCTTTGAGTATCGGGCATAAAAACGGGGAATTTTTTCGCCTAGTACAATGGCGCCCTCTGGCGAAGTGAGCGAGATATAACAGAGTGCTGGGTGTGACGCTGCGCTGAAACAGCAGACCGTAACGATTGGTTTTCGAAAAACTCTGGTCCCACAAGCAGATATTCGGTTATTTCACTCATACAAATTGTTGCAGTTCTTGAAAGGTTCAGTCGGTTCGAGGGCAAGCCACTGGGCCTTAAATCAGATGCAGATAGCAGATTCGATGTGATTGGGATGTGGGATGTGCACGGATTGTTTGTCAAGAATTTCCGTGATTGTTTTGTCTGTTTTGTCTGTTTTGTCAGCGGTTTTTTGTTTTTCAACAGCGTCAGCAGCACAAAACTCAAAACAAATTAAATATGCAAATAAAAGAGAGCGAGAAATTCCACAATTGCGCGCTTTGTTAAATGTTCTACGAGTATGCCCCGGCTCCCTGATTGTCAATGAGAGCAGGGCGGAGTCGGTGTAACACCTTAGACTTTCTGGTGGGCAATCAATAACCATTAGCCGCGTCCTTCAAACAACTTTCGTGGAGCTTGCCGGAGCGAAATATGTAAATATGTACATATGTATATTGTCTAGTGGTTCTAAGGGGTTCCATCGCGGCCCCTCATTCCACAATCCTGTTAACAGTCCCGGATCTGGCCGCAAATTAAAATCCCTTGGTTCTAGAAACGATTTGTATGGTCTGTGGCGGCGCCCTTCAGTCCATTGTCTTTCAATGAGCTAAACGAGCTCCCAATCTAAGGCAATTTTGATCTGCCGTTGACGTGGCCTTTGTGCTGCAGTGACTGCTCTGTGGGACTTTACGTTGTCATTTTATTGCCGGTTATATTTTCGCTTGTAATTGGCATATGGCGGCGCCCCTCACTCCCCACTGACTGTCCAAAAAAAACAAAAAAAAAGCCATGGAAAGCCTTTGTCTATTGCCAGCTTAAATCGATTTGAACAAACCTAATTGATATGGCTTGTTTTATGCGTTTTTTTTCCGGCATTTAAATTTCGTTTCGGTTCTTGTACCCTCGAAAAAAACACAGAGCTGGTTGTGGTAAAACTATTTATATTTAATAGATGATGATAGTTGATGATAGCCATCTACAGATTAATTTGAGTGTAATCTGTTTAATCTGTCCATCGTTCTCCATCTCCATCCATCTCTCTGTCTACGACCTTTCTGGGAGTGTTATATCACAGGACCCTGACCACAAAATGCGGTGGCTTTGGCTCAGGCGACAAAAAGCAGCCGCACTCTGAAATTTGAGGCATTTTTGACTTCTCCGGCCCGGGGTTTCCCCGAATGTTATCCGATTAGATGTGCCCCTATCCCCCTCTTTTGGTCTTTGAGTGCCGGGCGACGAGCGTGGGAACATCAAATGTGTGATGCAAAATTAGGCGCATTTCTTTCATCCCATTCGCCTGTCCTTGTACAGGCGTCCCATCATCAAAGGCGAACAAACTTTGGGGCCAAGGGCGTGCGAATACTGTTATTGCCCTTTTATGAAGAGCTCTCAGCGGACTTGCTGCTCCATTGGAGGCATGTTAGCACATTCTTTTCAGATCATATCCGCGCTCTAATGGCCGCATTATTTACATAAACGTTAGCCTGTATGTCCCGCAGAGTCGTGGGAAGGCATTTCTCCAGGGCCACCAGATGGGATTATGAGTGGTTCGGAGGGACTTCGAGCGTCTGGGCAAGGCAGTCTCATCAGCGAGTGTCGGAGTTGTTTCTCGGCACATCTCCTGGGTAGATGATATGCGGTGGATATGCCCAACCACGCTACCCAATGCAACTCCAATACTTTATGGATGTTCTGTTTTGCTTGGGAGTAAGAAAGCGAAGCCATACTCTCGCCTTTCACGTGCTATTCGTATCTCAGAGGTTCAATGGTTCATGGCATTGCACTGTTGATGGGTGGGAGCTGCTTGATATGATTCAGGAGTAGCTTTTCGGACCTCTTTGACAGGGCAGGGCAGGATGATGGCCATTATTATCATGCTGTTAAAATTATATTATTATCGTGGTTTCGGTGCCTTGTTGCTTGATGACTCTTTGTCACTTCTCCTGCTGGGACAATGATAGACCTGGTAGCTTCTAGACTGTTGGCTAGACGGTGCACAAGGCCTACACAAGATATATACAATATCTCTGCTCGACTCAAGGTAGAAACCACGTGCTTGGCTTCGAAATCAAGCACATGACAAGAAGCAACATCCTTAAAAACAGCTCAAAATATATCGTAGTTTATTAAAAGTATTTAGTTGTAGTTTGGATTTTCCACGAGCAATAAGCACTGGTCAAATTTGGACAAAACTGAACCATTCAGGAGTAGGCACTCGGAGTTCTGTTGAGCCCGATTTTGGGGCCCAAAAGTACCAGCAGTTAGGGTAAACTCGTAACTGATAATAACTGTGATAGCAGCTAGAGTTGTGTTCAAAATATAATCGATATTATCATTTGGATAAGCAACAATAATCTGGCCACACTGTCTCGCATTGCCTAGACGATAAGGAGTTATCGATCCCTAGCAACACTGCCCTTGTGCCCTGTATATCGATGTACTTCTATCGGCCTCAGACACTTTGAAATGCCTCGCTGGATACGGGATAAGTCTCTCTGAGAAACTTTCTCTGGTATGACATTCGACATAATAAATATTGTTACAATGAACACCTAAAATAGTCAAAGACATACGAAAACAGCCAGATAATAGTAATGTGATGTCACTTTTAAGATTACTTGTTGGGCATACGAGATTTTATGCACTAAGCTGGAAAATCATGTGAAATCTATTAGATGCCAATCCATTATGAACGCCCCTCGGTCTTCGTCCCATACCCAAGGCTCCATATGGCCCTCGTCTGCTCTCAATTTACATGTAAATGATCTACCAAATGTGGTGTCTCATATGCTGATGACAGAGTTCAAGTAGGCACTATCTATGTAAGTAATAAGGAGCTTAGTTAGACAAGAGAATGGGCACAGTTTGAGTGTGGCAAATGACAACGAAGTGCCTGAAGCCGAGTGCTTTTTATAAAGCAAGAATCAAGTCTATTTGGAAACTATAGGTCTGATTGGATTATTTGACAATAATGCCATCGATTATAAGGTTTATGTATTCCGTTGCCAATCGATCGATATGGATACGGTGTGTTCCCGGCACTGAAAAGGACACCGTCCGGACATCAGGTATTGCCTCTTAATAAACATACGATACGTCGAACGACACAGCACCAGCACCTGGAAATGCAGCATAGTGCATGCGAAAAGTATGCAAATTGAGTGCAATTTGCAGGCAAAGTGCCTCCAAGGGAGCAGGCCGGAGACGGGGCCGGTGAAGCGGCGGTGAAGCACAAGTGGAGCGCCGCTCATTATCCATGCCACGGCAGGAGAAGGCGAGCCGGAGAGCTGTGGGTCTGGACTGGGTACGTGCATTGCTCCTTGGCTCCTTCTGACCCCAAAAAAAAAGCGCATTTACTCGCACAAATGTGTTGATGATCGACAACCTGGCTCTGGCTCTGCCATGAGGGGCCAGGAGACGAGGAAGATTGTGAGAGAGTGCAATAGAAATACTTTTTGAAGGTTTTACTTCCCCCGAACACGTCTTGACTTTCCTGATGAATGATCGAGCCTCGATCTACCTCCTTTTCATGTGGCCGTATCTTTGGTATTTTCCCAGAGTGGCCGTATATGCATGGATTATTGACCCAAGCTAGGGACGACTAGTGGCCCTCCTTAAAAGACGATTGCGTTGAAGGACTGGCCCATGCGGTTGAGTGCTTCAGGAGGCATTGAAAATTGATACTTTCTTTCGTAAAAATTCAATTTCCATCGAATTCGCATTTGACTGGCTCGACGGAGGGAAGGCTGCTGCGTATTTAAATGCTTTATGGTTTCAGAACAAAAGCTAAAAACAATTCATAAAATCGACTGGGGCGCGGCTTGGGGGCGGTGTGGGAGGCGTGGTCGTTGCACAATCAAACAATAAATCTTCCTGCCACCAAAGTTACACATACTAAGCTTATTTGGATTTATATACCCCAGAATACCCCACCCTTAGTGCGCCCAAAACTTTTCCAGTCCCCACCATTGTTCCCCCGCCACCGCCACCGCCGCCGCCGCCGCTCCACTCACCTCCAACCCTCCAACCCCACATCGCAGTTTTTCTCTCTTCTCTGCATTTAACTTTTATGCTTATTTTTATTATCAGTCCCGATTCGGCCTGCCGCGGGGGCGTGTTGCTGGCATTTTGCACTCGAAGAGATTTCAGAAATTTGTTCGCTTTTTATTTGCTGCACACACGGCAACCCTGGCCCCCTGGCACAGAGGGTGTAGGAAATTCGTTTAAATGTGTGTAACACCCAGAAGGAAGCCTTTCCGACCCCATAAAGTATATATATTCCTGATCAGCATCCATAGCCGAGTCGTTATAGCCAAGTCTGTCTTGCCGATCAAGCAGCTAGAACTCAGAAGGCACCCAGGCAGTGGGAGATGGATTGCTGGACACCCGGACAGAGCCCTAGAGCCCTGGCAGAGCAAATGCCACAGAAACAGCCCGAAAAGGGGCAGTAGGAACAAGGACAGGGGAACAAGGTAGGAGCGAGGAAAGAGAGTCTCAGAGCAGGGTTTGGATATTTTCATCAAAAGATTGATTCAATAATGATAATTTGGGCACCCTTAAGTCTTGTGAAACCATACGGATAAGGTCCCTGTAGATCTCTTCTACGGACTTCCAAACAACGTACGTATTCCCCTTGAGACTGTACTTAATATAGACAAATAATCAGGGGTATCCTGGCATCATTTTGAAGAAAGGAAACCGAGCTTTTATTTGCGAATTACACAAAAACCATTGCGGCCAAAATAAAGAGAGGGAACACCATGTTTTTGGCCAACGGAATCACTATTCCGTGGTTGCACATTTTGCACGTGTTTTCGAGCAATAAATAAACATGGATACGGGGTGGAACGGAAGTATTTTTAGATTTTTCTTTATGCCCTGGAATGCTACTGTCACCGCTGGTCGTTTGAAATTTTAATGATACCTTTTATTGGTAGAGAACATATGTATAATACATCGGATACATCAGTTTACTGCTGTTTTAAGGGCTTTTCCAATCACTTTTCTATAAGATGGTCTTACTTTTAAAGGCCTGACTTTATAGCATTATTTTTTAACATTTTTCAAACTTGTCGTTTGGTCTAAATTTAGTCATAGAAAACTTTTGAAACCAACCATGTACGCGGATTTGAATATTTGGTAATATATACTGTGTTTGTTCGAATGCATGACTCCATTCAGGCATGGCTATATCCGTCCGTCAGAACACCTGGCTTAAAAAATAAAAGTGTGTAGTGCTTAGCCACGCCCTAAATCTGTATATTTATGGGAATACAGAACTCTTCTTTGGCCAGCACACTGCTGGCTAAAATAACAAGTTTGTTGCGAAATATGTAGATCGCATATTTGTTGTATGCATGACTGGCAGTGGTTTGTATTTTTAAAGGTTGCAGTGTGGCCAAATGTGAAAGTTGGGAGGCCTCCAGGCTTAAATTTGTGCTGGTGCTGGTACAGATTTGATCGGGATTCGGTTAAAGGTTTGCTGCCTTGCAAAGGACAACATTTCTTTGGAAGAAGATTGTTTTGAATCTTCAAAGAGTAGAAAAAAGTCTTGGGAATATTTTGAGAAAAGTCTTGGACTCGGCTTGGTATTTTTTTTTTCTCTAAATGTCTTGCAGAAAATCGTGAAAGGAAGACGAAATCCTCACAAACAAGGGACAACCCCATCGTCAGTCTGGCAGAAAAGGATCTATTCCATGTCTTCCAAGGCCATATTCCCTCAAATTGTCAATGAAATATCATCTGGAACGGTGGTAAGAACGCCTTGAGGGCCTGTCCCATACAAGATCATAGTTTGGCCACTTTTCGTGTGATGTTCTTTAGTCGCTTAAAGAGCCGCAAAACGCCAAGTTGGCTAAAGAATAATGGGCTACAATTGTGCCAAGGAACACATAGATCTATGAATAATCTTCGTGCTGTACTCTCCCGATCCTTGGCGACTCTGTTTATCGTAAGAGAGGAGGGTTTGCTATGATCCTAACCAGCCAAGAAAATGCTACTCACGCGCGATCGTTGCCCGCAACTGCTGCTACCCGACTGGCCCGGCCTGGACGAGGCCTTGTGGCTGGCTTTCCCCGAAAGTTCCGGAATAGCTTGTCGGAGAGCAGGGTCTGGCAGCATTTCGCTGGAAGCGCGGTAAACAACTGTTGTGCTGGGCCCAGATCGAACAAATGTTTTTCGGCGACAACGACAAGCTGGCGTCTGGACTGGAGCATGGGAATCCGTGAGTCAGCGCCCAGAAAGAGTCGGGTGATGGGCGGACTCATTTGGCTGCTTGAGCCCGTGCCTGGCGGATGGAGAGAAAGGTGCGCACCTGCAGAAGCAGGCCCCCCCCTACCGAGCCGATAACGGCGACGGCTGCCCCTCCTCAGGTGGACATGGCCCGGAAGAACAAGCGGCGCCGCACCGAGGAGCGTTCAGAGCAGGTCCAGCAGTTGCCCAGCATGCCGGTGCTTATCGATCAAGAGTCCTTCCAGCCAGAGCCCCCCTCGCCCACGCACAGGCATAGGCCCAAGACAAAGAAGGCCAAGAAGAACTCCAGGCGGGACAAGGCCGGGACACACCGCGGATATGCTGCAGGCGGAGGAGCTGCTGGGCAATGTCTCCATTCTGGAGCAGCTGCTAACGGACAAGCCGAGGCAGCATCGCCGTCATCGCCTCGAAAAGAAAAGACAACCAAAACACTATCATCGTCATCGCCGTCAAGACGCCCCATCGTCAACGTCAACGGTCTCCAGCTCTACCTCCCCCAGCACCGCCACCACCCCCACCAGTACGGTGCGACCCCGCCATTGGTTTGGCCAGAAAAAGCGCATCCTCGAGCAGTGGCGCAGGGAGCACTCCCAGCAGCAAACGAGCGGCGACAGTGATGGCTAGGGGCTAGAGAATACCCCCTAGGATAATGGATAACTATGCCAGATCAGTAGCCCATGGAAAATGGATGGGCACAGTACGAGGACGAGCTTTGAGACCGCCTGAGGAGGGAGTAACGAAAGCTAAGGCCCTTCTCCTAAGGAAGCCGATCTCTTTTAAATGTATTTATTGCTTTGTTTCATTTTTTTACAGTTAAGGAATATATAAAAATAAAGATCACAAGAATTGATTCATTTTTGAAGATTTTACACATGAAAACACATACTGACCGAGTACCGGGCATAAAGTAGAGCCGCGGCCCTTTGCCACTTCTTTGCTTTAAGCATGAGGCATTGCTTTTGGCCTATATCGATAGCTGACATATCGATAAGAATGCGCTTCCTCTCGATATCGCAATAGACATAGGCAGAGCCTGTGTCTTGAGGATAACTGATTTGAGACGAGGAAAGAAAGCTAATTTTGGCGGGAAAATGGACGAAAGAAACTTGAGGCTCATATATTTTTGTTATTTTCAGTCGAGCGATGCCGTAGGTCAACCAACGTAGGTCAAAAAGTTGGTGCACACACTGCTTCTGGCTTCTGGCTTCTGGTTCATTCGGTTCAGACCTCGTCATAATGGAACCAGTTCAGTGGCTCTCTGGCTGGACGCTTTGCTGTGTCTGGGCCTCGGTTAAAACTGAGTGAAAATGCCAACAAACTAATCAAATTTCCAACATTTTCTGGGCCTACCTCGAAGAGAAGCGTGGCAAGGCTCCCTCTGGGCGTCTGAATGAGTACTATTCCGCTTCTGGTAGCTTCTTGATTTGATTTCTTTCGGTTGTGGAAATCCCAGACGATCTAGTGACCTATGAAACCCTGGTCAGGTGTAGAACAAAAACGTATGGACCTAAAACGTTAATATTTTGAACAAAAAAAAAAGCCAAAATTATTGATATTGTTTATCCTAGATATGGAAGACGAAAGAGAACAGAGCTGCGAAGAGGAACAGTCCCGGAAGAGCGGGGGCTACGAGGTCGCCGCGGGGTCGGGATCGGCAGCCACGGCCACTGCAGCTAATCTTGATAGTACGGATAATACTAGGGTGGATGCCGACAACCAGCCCTCGTGCAGTGCAAACTGCCGTCCGAGATCGGTACGCTTCGTGGTGAAAAAGTGGAACGCGGTGGCCCTGTGGTCCTGGGACATAGTGGTGGACAACTGTGCCATCTGCCGCAACCCGATCATGGACCTGTGCATCGAATGCCAGGCCAACCCGAACCTCAGCTCCTTTGAGGAATGCACCGTGGCCTGGGGCGTGTGCAATCACGCCTTTCACTTTCACTGCATTTCGCGCTGGCTCAAGACGCGCCACGTCTGTCCGCTCGATAATCGCGAGTGGGAGTTCCTGAAATATGGACGCTAGCCACTGGACAGAGCCCAGACATTCAATAACGACGAAGAGTGTGTGAGAGAGAGGGGAGGGGAACAAGAGAATTGTGATTGATTTGAATAAAGCAAAACCATTCCACTGTACGCGATTTAAGCCGATAGAAGCCTGTCCACATCTCATCACCAGCCGATAACCATCTATCGATAACCATTCTGAGCACAGCTGTCAGCGGAAGGGAGGAAAGATCACATAAAAAGAGACGCTGGCCATTCTAAGCACTTTTGAACCCAATCCATTATGCTACCCATAAGATTCAAATTCCCACATACATATGATCATCGACTCATCTCTAGTCGAATGATTCCACCATCTATATACGAGAACTTATGCGATCCATTTGGGTCATTGGTTCATTTTCAGTGCTTAAAAGTACTTACCAATTTCGATTGTATTCAATGTCCTTATGCTTTCTTGCTAATCTTCCTGATGCAGTCCTTGCTGCTCGTGTTTTCGCTGACTTGGTATTGGGCTAGAGCCACCTCACTGGACCTCATGGGTCTGCTGACAAAGGCGACCTGCAAGAGCAGATGGCTGCAGAGAGAAAGGACGTGGATGAAGCAGAAACGTGCTTAAAAGAGTAAACTTAAATGCAGATATCTCGACAAAGTACTCAAGGCTTAAAGGCCACAGTTTTGGCAACGCTTGAGCATTAAAAGATGTACAGTCTTGATTGGAAGCGGCCGGGCATCGCAGAGGTAGTGACTACTTGGACAGTTGGGCATGAGTCATGAGGCATGATTATGAGGCAGACTCTTGTTTCATCAACTGTTTCTGATATGCGTGGCAGCTGTTTGTGCCACACAGGCATCGAAAGCTGCCGGGTGTGATGGTGGAGTGGAAATGTGGCCCTTGCGACAGCAGCTTCAGTGAAAACTGAGGCTTTCCCTGCTGGATTGGATGGGATTGTGAGAGATGCGGAAACTCGATGGAAACTGATTCAGTTGAAATGTGTCAATCAGCCTTTCAATGCCACTTCACGTCTTCCCATCTTACGAATCATCGCACAGCATTTGCGGAGATGGATGGATCTTGAATCCCAGAGGCATTCGGATTCGTTAACTTGTTGTGTATTCATTCATCGATCTAATCTTCATTGAGGCACTTCGGAAATCACTTATTCAGTCCGTCAGTCCGTGTGTCAAGTCCCATCCGTGAGTGCAACAATGTTTCATCGTCTCTAGCTCTCAGCTGCCCCCAACTTTCGTTTCTTCTGCGTGCTTTGAAGCATCACAAATTGGCGAAAGGCACTGGGCCGGGGAGCAGCATCGGCTCTCCATTGGATGGTCTTTGTCTGAGACTAGACTCCAGAGTGGCTGTACAATGTATACAACCTTTTCCGCTGTTTCTTCGTTATCCATTCTTCTTCTAAAGTGCATGCTTTGTGGCCCTTAAGCTAATGCGCCCGAGCTCAGGCTCCTCTCCTCGGGCCTGTGTCAGAGTGCTTTGATCTCGTCCTTCACGGGTCCCGCGCATTTTCATTGTCTCTCGGGGAGCGAGCACCCGTCCCTCGGCTTGGACTAGAGCCAAGTAAATGTAAATAACTTTCAAACGAAGCTCTCCCTTCCGACTGGCCCATTGGTGTGCGTGGAAGCGAAATGCAAGAATGCATTGTCCTTTTCTGTTTGAAGCTGTGCATCACCGCCCAGGACCCACGATCTCTCCACCTGGATTCCAGGCAGGAATCCAAACTGACCGAGGGGTGCTGCCGCATGACGCGCGACGCCTTAACCGAATCGAATGCTAACGTCCAGGAAAGATAGAGGCAGGGAAGTACTGGTGGATATAATATGGTAGAGGGAATCATAGTCCCAGCATAAGATCGTGAGCATACGATAGTTCTATAATACTAATCAAATAGGTCATGTGATGGAGAGGCAATAAGCGAAGCATTAGAGCACAGCTGGCAGTCGTAGTTCCCTTTCTCTCTATGTTTTAGCCTTCTCTCATGACAAGGGCAAGCAAAATTGACAGAGATCGCGTACCGATTCATTGGCCAAAAACGATAACAAAAGAAAGAGAGAACAATCATCAGCTGCGATAAAATAGCGTATAAAATATATCGCATTTGCATACACCTCTGAGTATCGGGTATTTCCAGTAGAGCCGCGACCCTTGCCGCGGCTCCCACTCCGAAAGTAGGTGGTATTGAGGGGAAACTAAGTCCGTTGCTTTTTTATGGGAACTTGTTTTATTTGCCAGAGAATTGCGATTGCCCAGAAGAATGACACAAATTTAAAACAATACAAATTTCGCACAAAAAATGTAACTTTGTTGTTGGCACCCACCACCCACCACCCAGCACTCTCTCTCTCTCTCTCTCTCTCATGCACTCCAGCGATGGCTGCAGGCGTCAGCGCCACAGAGCGCGAGATAGAGACATAAAGAGACCCCAGAGATTTACGCCCGGTTTATCTGTTTCGAGGCAAACGGATTAAGTCGTTAAATCCGCTCGAATTTTTTCGCTATTGGATCCCTGTCTCTCGCCCCACGCTAGACCGATTTTGGGTGGGGGCCGGTGCCAAGGCATAGTCCGGGTATGGCATGCCAAGGCATGCTCCACTTTGCAGGGGCCACAACTCCGGATAAATGGTTATTACACTAGTACGTTTTTCAGTTGCTGTTGTTCCCCACACTAAATACTAAATACTGGTTTGTGCGAGTATGTACCTTTCGAGGTGAAAACCAAATTAAAAGTTAAGACCCAAAATGGCTGCAGGCGACGCACAGTGGCGCCTCAGCCCACAAAAAAACTTGCCAGAAGTCTTTTTTTTTTTTTTTTTTTGAGCAAGCGCTTTTGGATAATTTTCCAAGGCCTTCGAAAATGTGAAACTTTGAGTAAGTCGAATTCTTTGGTTTGGGAGAAATGAGCCCTCCAAGTCGACCATTTTTTCTGGTTAAATAAAAATGTATACCCTGTATCTGTGTTTGTAGTATTTAGTATCTGTATCGTATGATTATAGTATTTGTATCTGTATCTGTAGAATATGGTATCTGTATCGTATGATTATTGTTTGGGTGTCTTTTTTTTTGGGGTATTTATTGTTCAATGAAAAAGAAATGGACTTGTTGGTAGAACTCCTAAAGAAATTTCGATTTTTCCAACTATTTACTTGTTTAAAATTAATTAATTTATTAAGAATTATCTGCTAGTAATGGTTTAAAACAGAATTTAGAAAATTTTCAAGTTTCAGTTTTTAAATATTAAGAATATTGACGCCGAAAGTCCACGAACGTTGTGTAGTTTTTAAGATTTTTTCCCCCTTCGTCTTATCGCTCCACCAAAAGTCACTTCTTGAACCAGCTCCGCTCTGTAGTTCTCTTCTGATCTAGTTCCGCAAAGTTTTAGTTCTGCAAAACTAGAACTATCGGACAATAGCTTGCATCGATACTTTTTCGGATAGGATTTGTAGGTAAACACCAATAATCGTAAAAAAGGTACGTAAAAATGTAGGATAATACAACCTACCAAGTGCTACATTCATAAGGGATAGCTCAGGGGATAAGGCATTACCAAGAGCGCTATAATTGTGGAATAAAACCCTAGAAGGTTCAGGCTAGTCATAACTTGCGAGATCTTCTGTTCTTAAATGTTCTTCGACTATTTCCTAGAGCGATATGAATGTGTCCCAAACTCGAGCAAAAAACAGACCAGAATACACGAATACCTGAATAACGCTCGATAAGAATGAACAGTCTTCTTAAAGAGATACTCGTACTTCATCCGAAATGGATCGAACCTCCCAAATGGTAGTGCTGAGACCCAAAATCGAGTCAAAGGAGAGATCCCAGAAAACCATTTGCATGTGCCATCCATTCGAGGCTTATTCTCTCTCAATAAGCACACCATGAGCACCCAGTTGGGCTTTTCCAGTTGAACGGATTACAATCTACCCTGATCTTAATGGAGTTTTGTGCTTTATGTAACGTATTGTGGCGCCGTCGTTGATAAGGGACACTGTGCTTCCTCCAGATTTGTACTTTGTGATTTAATCAAGCGGGTCGGGGACATGCCCGCCCAGGCCCCCATTCGAGTTGCGTGCAAGCCTCGAAACGACCGGGAGTCCTTGGGCAGTGGCAGTGGGAGTGGGAGTGGGAGTGGGAGTGGGAGTGGCAGTGGCAGTGGCAGTGGAGTCGACAGCGACTTGTGTAGGCACCACAACGTAGCAAATGAATAACAAAATGATTAAAGAAAATCGCATTGTGCCAACACAAATTCACATATACATTTTATGGTAGTTGCTGCGTTTTTATGGGGAATTAAACATTTTCTCGTGATGGCCATCGCCTCGGATGTAGGTCAGCGTTGGGCCGGCAGAGGTGGCGGGCTCCAGGAGGCTTAGCATTGGACTGGTGTGGTCCGGAGGGGACCACCCGTCCTCTCTCCACTCGCCTAATTGATGGCCCGGAGTGCTCACTTTCCGAGCTGTCGCCCACGAGAGTTCCAGGTGCTGAGGGAGGTGTATAATGATTTTGGTCGGATGAGGACAGAGAAACGATCGATCAACAGGAACAATTCTGAGTATTGGGTATCCTAGAATCGGGTTCACGGGTTCGGTTTCGATTTCTATTTCGATTTTGGTTTCACTTTCGATTTCCGTTTCGATTTCTGTTTCGATTTCTGTTTCGATTTCTGTTTCGATTTCTGTTTCGATTATTTTTTCGATTTCTGTTTCGATTTCTCTCTCGATTTCCGTTTCGATTTCTCTCTCGATTTCCGTTTCGATTTCTGTTTCGTTTTATTTTGATTTTTGTTTCGATTTGTTTCGATTTTTGTTTCGATTGGTTTCGATTTGTTTCGATTTCTGTTTCGATTATTTTTTCGATTTCTGTTTCGATTTGCTTCGATTTCTGTTTCGATTTCTCTTTCGATTTCCTTTTCGATTTGTTTCGATTTCTGTTTCGATTTCCGTTTCGATTTTTGTTTCGATTTGTTTCGATTTTTGTTTCGATTTCTGTTTCGATTTCTCTCTCGATTTCCGTTTCGATTTCTGTTTCGATTTCTGTTTCGATTTCTGTTTCGATTTTTTTTTCGATTTCTGTTTCGATTTCTCTCTCGATTTCCGTTTCGATTTCTGTTTCGATTTGTTTCGATTTGTTTCGATTTTTGTTTCGATTTCTGTTTCGATTTGTTTCGATTTCTGTTTCGATTTCTCTCTCGATTTCCGTTTCGATTTTTGTTTCGATTTGTTTCGATTTCTGTTTCGATTTTTTTTTTCGATTTCCGTTTCGATTTTTGTTCTGTTTCGATTTCCGTTTCGATTTCTGTTTAGAATTCTATTTCGATTTCGATTTCTTTTTCGATTTCTCTTTCGTTTTCTGCTTTTCGGCTTTAAATTTGAGAGAATCTTTCCTTTCGTTTCGTTTTTGTTGATTTTTGTTCGGTTTGGTTGGGGTTTTCTCGTCTCGTCTCGTCATTTCATTTAAAAAACAATTTGATTTATTTGCTTTGGCATGCAAACGCCAGCCAGCAACAACAGCCCGGTGTCGTGGTAGTTGTTGCCACTTCTGCCGCCGTCGCCGCCGTCGCCGCTGCTCCAAAACATACCACACAGACTCCATATATGTACATATGTATGTATGTATGTATGTATGTATGGATGTATGTGCATACAGCCCAAGCCCAATATATAATTATAATGGCATTTTGCCAAAATGCTTCACAAACAACACACAAGAACAAACACACAATTCTGTTTTGTGGATTGAGTGGATGACAGGGAATGGTAGGGAGTGGTAGGGAATGCTCGGGGTCTGGCTGACAGACTGGAGTGCCAGAGTGCCGGAGTGCCGGAGTGAACGTGTGGCTAAGCTTTGGACAATGATAGCAATGATAGCGAGCGGAAAAACAGCAACAGCCAACGACAAGTGCAACAAAACACGGCTAAGAGCAGCAGCAACAGCCAGCAACAACCAGCAACAACTATGGCAACATCGAGGACAACGTTACCGAGGACATAATCCATTTTGGAAATTACATAAACCAAAACGAAAACGAAAATATTCAACAACCCAGACGGTGGGGCTATTATTTGGTTTCCTTTTTGTTCTGGCAAACACACAGACAGACACATAAATGGAAATGTAATCAGGACACTAGATAGTTACCTCCAGATCGCAGAGCAGAGCAAGTTTATGGGTCCGCGCTTCCATTCAAGTCACGAATTGAATGGCAGCCTGGGGTACACCTCTTGGGTACAGTCTCGTTTCCTGGGGCGGCTTATGGGTCAAAGCGGGGACGTCATCTGGAACGAGAGATTGAGGATGATGGCGGGATTAGCACTTGCGACTTGAGTCGCAAAAAAGGCGATCAATGACTGACACTAACTACTGGCACACAGAGGGGTACATACACACATCAAGGACCTTTCCAATGGCTGAAATATCGATATTTATTGAGCTGTATAGCTGTAGGCTTTCAAAAGGGCAAAGACAAAGACTTTTCCAGTCTCAAAAGAGCATCAGTTGGTCATTTGTTCAATCCTTTTGTAAGGTCCTAAAAAAAAAACACCATTGTTTTGTTCACTTTTTTCCAGAGTATTCCGAATATTTAAGTGTGCTATTTTTGGTCCTCGAAACTCGAAAAATGCTCCGTACAATGCCGTTTGAAATGGACTTCAGGAACAGATTCGAATCTTGATCCCTGCCGTTCAATCGTTCTTTTGGCGTCTCAATTTCAGGTGGTTGTTGTTTTTCCTGACGCACAACACACACCATCCATCCGACTCATGTTTCAATTTGAGCGCATGACATGGCATTAGGGCTGACTGACTTCCGGAGTAGCAAAATATTCAATACCGGGCCCCACTCGAATGCGAGACGAAGGAACGCAGCGACGGTGAATGCTGGATGAACTTCTTGGCGTTGTCCTTTTCTTTTTACTCTGCGAGTGTCAATTATGTGCCAGCACGCTTGTCTCCGTCGCCATTTTCTTTGTTGATTTTGTACTCCCCGGCAAGGGCCGCGGCTCGGTGTGAGCTATGGTTCGTGGAATTTATACAAATACAATTTTATACGTCGTTTGAACACATATTTTTATAAAAATACGACGAAATATTTAGGAGATTTTTATAGATTGCATTTAATCTGTTTTTAGCTTGTCTAGACATTTTTCTTCAGCATCAGTCTCTATTCTTTTCCATTCTCACTCGCACCCCTGCCGCTCTCGCTCCCTTCCTCTAGATCACGCACATTGCACGAGGAAACGTGTGTGTGAGAGCGAGAAAGAGAATCAGCAAGCGCGTGGAAGACGTTGCGCTTCATTTGTTCCCGCTGGCTATAATAATAGACCAATTGGAGTCAGATTCGGAAATCTGCAAGATATGGTTCTCTCGTTTCTTCAAAATTGCGCGTGCCACAGACTTTCATCCTTCTTGAGTGGGCGGAAGGGAGCGGTGCGAAGATTTGTTTGATCTAGCTCTTATAGCCTCTGAGAGCTCTGAGACATGGCTCAATCGACTCGGCTATTGATGCTGATCGAGTATATATATACTTTATGGGGTCGACAAGGCTTCCTTCAGGGTCTTATACATCTCCACTTTGAGCATTTTTATTTTATTTATTTATATATACATATTTATGTATATTTATATTATTATTTATTTTTTTTTTTATTATTTTTATTTCATATTATGTTAGATTTAACTTTAAAAGTTAAAAAAAATATTTTTACACGATATATTTTATTGCCCTTTTAAAAATTTTTATTTTATATTATTATTTATGCTTTTTTACTATTTGTATTTTATATTATATTAGATTTAAAATTAAAAATAAAGATTTTTATACGGTATATTTTATTGCCCGTTTTAATATTTTTATTTTGAATTATATTAAATTAAAAAAAAAAAAAAAAATATTTGTAGACAATAAATTTTATTGTGCGTTTTTTTATTGCGTTTTTTAATATTTTTATTTCATATTATATTAGATTTAAAATAAAAAGATAAAGATTTGTAGACGGTTTATTTTATTGTCCGTATTTTTTTTATTGTCCCTTCCACCCACTGTGCAGCATTCAGGTGTCATGGGCGTGGGCGTGGTCGTGGGCTTCACTGTATCTCGTGTCTCTCCAGGGGGGGGGGGTGTGTCCCGGGGCTCCACAGAAAGAGTTGAGCCAATACTTGGCCAAACAAGACGGACGAGCGGCACAGCCAACAACGATAACTGGGGTTGGGGGCGGGGGGAGGGAGGGGGGGGGTGGTGCAGGTCGGACCCAATGCCCACGTCGAGGGGCAACACAGAAATCGCATTTTGAAAAATGTTGCATGCCCGCATCATAAATAAATGTAAATGCAAATAAATCACTCTGCTTTGCTGAAATTTTTCCAGTTTATTGCTCCTTCCACGTTGTCTGGATGTTAATGCTGTTCTGTTTCTGTTTCTGTTCCTGTTGCCCCCCCCCCCCCCCCCCCCCCCTCACCCCACCGCCATGGGGCCATGGGGCCATGTGGTACGAATGTTTTTGGTCCCTCTCTCGCTCCGTTCCCGTCCCCAAAAAACAATGTCAAGCGCACTGCCTCTGCTGCTCCTTCTGTTCCTCTGACAGACAAAATGCTTCTTGCTGCACATCACGATTAGGGCTCATGGAGTGGGCCACGTAGCAGGCGAACCGAGGATGGATGTCAGTGCTCCAGCCAGAGCCCAGGGCCGGTATGGAGGCCCGTGCTCAGAGTACAACCAAATTGCGTGTACACAAACCTAATGGGCCCCCAAACTCTTCGATTGACGGCAGGGCCGGACACCTGTCTCTCTCAAATGGAGAGAGGCGTTAAGTCCCTTAAGGGCCTCCAAGGTCCTCCAAGGGAGCCACCATTCACGCAGTGATAATACTATTTAAATCGACAGATAAGGAGCAGCTTATCGCTTATCGCGGCCTATGTAAATCAAAAGGGCAATGCAGCTCAATGCAACACAGCATTCTCCCTCCCTCTCTGGCTGCCTAATTAGCGACCACTGGTGGCGTGGCGTGGCGTGGGTGGGGTGGTTGGCAGGGCATTTATCATGGCGAGGATCCTTGTCCGGTCGAAACGGGTCTGGCTGGTGCCTAATGAGCTCCAGTTAGGGGTCGCATTAGCGTAACTGAGACCCGAAGCGATCCAATAAATCAGGGGCCAGTGGGTGGCGGGAGGCGGGAGGGCAAGGCTCCGCTGTCCTGGCATCCAGCTCTTTGGGGGGCAAGTATGTTGAATGTTGAGAATGTCACACCTTCCTAGAGACCAAATTGTGTGGAAATAATTCTATGCTTCAACATAATCGGCCCGTAGAAGGGACACTCTCGCTCCCTCTAACCTAACCCAATTCTCTATGCGTGTCCCTCCCCCTTTTGCGACTCAGTGACTCTCACTTTTTATTGTCGCACCCCCCAGTAGATTATTTGTTTATTAACACAAAAGGCACTAAGGCACTAAGGCATTTTGGGCATTTTGGGGGCCAGGACGAACGTTACAATACATACATATGTAAATGCCACAAAAAGCACAAATCATTGGAAGACATTGTATACATAAATATATATTATATAATAGAAACAGTGCACCAATCAATGCAGTGGGAGAATGCCTCTAGAATGTGTTTGTTCTACAGAAAAAACTAATTTTTTGAAAGAAATAATTGCGAAGCATGAAGGCTACGCCCCATTATCCCTCCAACAAATCAGCGACTCAGAATGAATTGAATCAAATGAATGGCTACTCAATCGGTCTCTCTTTTCATTCGACCAATCATTCCGGTCTCAATCATTTCATTTATTCTATTATCTCAAAGGTTTAACAGTTTCAAGTGTTCTGAGCAGCACTGCCACTTCACTGTTAAGCTGTTAACAGTTCAGAACAGCGCTGCCACCTCACTGTAAAGCTGTTAACAGCGCTCTGTTGCTAACTCTCTCTCGCTCTGGCTCTCTTTTTTGCGCTCTTACGATCCACACGGCGCTCGCCGTTACGTTCCCACCCGCAGAGAATAAATCCAGCGCAGACTCATCTTGGATTTCCTGCAGCCCCCCTCCAAAAACCAAGAAATGTCCTGATGTGCGGCCCTTATTGACACCTAATGCCATGCACACTCGTACCACATGTGTTAATGGATACGGTTTCGACGCAACGTACGGCTCATAACTCTACGAGTAGGCGTCCTTTTGCTCAAGTGGCCTTCCTCGAGTGTCATGACTGCCTGCTCCTGCGAGATGTGCTTGCCTGAACACATGTTTTGCCGTTCATCGTGCACGGAAAATGATTGCCAAGGACATTGCGGCAAGACCCAACCTTTGAGGCTGGGAAAACCCCAAGCCGATGCAGAAATAGGTCTACCAATACCCAAAGCCCCCTTGCAGAGTTTTTCGAAGCACTGAAAGCACAACAAGCTTTTCCAGTCTTTAAATTCTCGAAAACCCACGACGCACAGTGGGATCCTCGGGCATTTTTGCTTGTTTCTTTGACTTTTGCCACCTGATTTCGGCTGAAGCTCTACTATGCCTTCTTCAATCAATAATCGACACCTCATGGAACACTCAGTGAAAGTAAAAGTACAAATAAAGTGTACACTCGACTTCTTCCCGGCAATGCACAGTGGGCGAAAGGACAATCCAGGTCTAATTAATTGGAAATTTTCATGCCACAATCTGTTACAGATTGTGTAATGCTGGAACGACTCAGGCCTGGTCGACAATCACTTTTTCTCTGTTCTGAATCACTTGTGATTAAACACCAGCCAGTGGCTGTCAAACTATGAACTATGATCCCCACGGACTGCACAAACCAGCTCTAATCATTAATAAATAATGGAGCACAAAGTGAAATCCGTTGATTGTGACCAATTGCAACCAATTGAACTGTGTGTATGGGCTGGTAGGCAGCCCCAATCTCCAGATTGGACACAAGTGGAGAGGCCGCCCTCCAGCCGTTCAATGGACAAGGCGGCCAAGGAGGGCGGTTGGTGTTGCTGCTGTTTGTTGGCGTGGACTGTGGATAGAGCTAAAACATACTCGTATGTACATGGTTGCGATTAAAACTAAAATTACATTAAAATGGAAATCATCTGCTTGTGCGGTTGGCACCAGACTCGCATAATTTCTATGGATTTTGCTTGCCTCAGCAGCAGTAACAGAAGCAGCAGCAGAGCGGTGGCGGCGGCG